CAAGCTTCCATTGGTTTTCTAAGGCTCCATATAAGCTTTATACTTCAGCAATGTTAAATAGAATCTCGGCCAATGTGAACATCCATCCCCATGGGAAGAATTAGTTACCTCCAAATTTGTGCCCTTCAAATTTGTATTGGACTTCACCACCTAGAGATGCCTTGCTGTGGATGGCAGGGACATTCCACCATGGCTGAGGATTCTGCAAGTTATTTCCTCCCACAGTAACATTACCAAGCTCTAACTCTCTCTGTCTCTATGAAATCACAATGCAAAACTCATGCCAACCCGACGGTACAGATAGAAGGGCCAAACCAACCCTGTGGGTTTCCTCTTGCCCTGGATCTGAGCAACAAATACCCAGCAGTCGGTTTGCACAAGCATACCACCCTTGACATCTTCTCAACACACATCCCCTCCCTTCAAACAGCATGACTTCTTGTGTTGGCAGCACTGGGCATTTTTATTGTGGAAAGCAGTTCCTGACCTTCCAGGTCAATGCTGGGGTTCCAGCTCCAAGAAGGAGAAGGACAGGGTTGCCAGCCCCTCCTCAAATCCCTTCTTCCATGCGGCCACAGTACTCCCAGAATATACCATCCATGGAAATCTTCCTTGCTCAAATTCTGGCGCTTCCAGCAAACAAAGGCGGACACGTCCAGCTGCAAGTCGGACTCCTTCCTTCTTCCAAAGCGGATACAAGGATGGGACAGCTGTGGTCCCTTTTCTCGCTCCTCTTCGTTCTTCGCCTGAACAGGTTTGCATTTTCTTACAGTAAAATTCATTTATTCCCCCCTATTTTAACCTTTCTATTACCCCGCACTATGAGCCGTTCTCAATTTTGGCCAAGAATTGCTGTGCCCACCAGTCCTCCAGGTCTATAGGCACAAAATCTGGAGGGGAAAGTAGAGAAATAAAATTAGAAAGAACCTGTTTGTGAAATATTATGTGCAAGCTAAAAAGACATACAGCAAGGACAGGGAACCGTTGGACCTCTAGATGTTTTGGACTTCAACTCCTACTCTTTTTCGTCATTGGCCATACTGGTTAGGTCCTAAATTCAGTTCTTAGTCCTCAACTGCAGTTGACCAGTTGGCTCAAGGAAACCTACCTAGGTTTGAACCTACTAAATACCTATTGATTTTGTCGGTCTATTCTAGTCTGGACTAACAACCAGATTTGGGATCCAGGGATCCAGGATTTGCAGTCTAGCAGCACCTGGAGGGCTCCATGAGTCTCACCCCAGATCAAACAAATATATATATATATATATATGTTCAAATTAACAATACCAAATGCAACATACATGTTGAAAGCTTCACAAAAAAATAATTAGTAATACTGGCGGGAAATTGCGCATATTGGAAAAGATGCACAGCAATAATCTACTCTGGCTGAAAACTTAACTCCAGACCTTTCTGTGTAATGCAAGTTTCACTTTTGCATTACAGTTGGCCCTCCACCTTTGTGGCTTTGACTTTTGCAGATTTGATTATGTGCAGTTTGAATTAATATGCTCTCTCTAGGAATCTCTTAAGTCTTCCAGAGCAATTCTTCTGGACGTTGACCATTGAGTTGTGCTGGAGAACCTAAAAGTTCTTAGAGAAAACATGTCTTTAGGCATCTGTAGGTCCTCCTGCATGATTCTATGATCAACGTCTGGCAGATGTTGACCATAGAGTTGCACTGGAGGACCTGGATATTTCTAGAGATGTGTTCTCTTCGGTAAAAATGAGGTTTTTCCACAGTCATGGGGGTCCTTCACCCAAACCCCAGCAAATGTGGAGGGACAACTGTACCTATATGCTTCTTGCATGCAATGGGTTGACTCCACACTGTTCCCCCTGAGGTCTGACCATATGTACTTCCTTACCTTTCAGTTCGGGGCTGGGTGTTTTTTCTACATATTGGACTGGGCCAGATCCGCTGCCTCCCTGTCGGCTGTCATCCAGCTGTTGTTCTACTTGTTGCCAGGCTGGTGGAAGAGAGAAAGAGGTCACAGGAGGCAAGATCGGCACCCAAAGGTGACCAACCAAGTGGACAAATGCTCCAGGGTCCTCAGTGGCCTTAAGTGCCTAACACACACACAAAATAATAGCCTGTACTGTGATACTGTCAAGAGAAAAAATGTTTCTGGCCATAGAAGGCCTGTAGATCTTTCTCCCCAACCTCCCCAGACAATGATTAAAATGCTCCTCATTGGATTCAAATAGATTGCAAACTGGTCATCACATGCAATCTGAAGGAATTTGGGCTCTTTGGGGGAAGGAGCGAGAGCTCCATAAATTCCACAGAAAATGGGTTCACATTTTTTTATCCAGGAGTATCCGCAAGGATGCAGTTTGCTGAACATGTGGCCGTCCGTCTGCTTTGCATGGATTTGCATGGCTGTACATTTTCAGCAGAGGGAGAAGAAATAGACGCAAATTTGAGCAAAAAACGATTACGTGTCGATGCAACTGTGCAAAAATCCACAGCAGTTCACATAATACACTTACATGTCAACTAGCCCCTTTCTGCCCCCTTACGCTGCTATGGAGTGAGCAAAGAGACTGGCAGTGCCTCCAAGGCTTAAACCTTGGTCATGCCAGTTGGGATCAAGCAGTGAAATGCCCTCACCTGCATCTTCTTTGGCCTCCTCTTGGCCCAAGCACATTGCCAAGCTGGAAGCACTGCAGCACAAATTTGGTTCTCCAAGCAGAGGGGGGTACGTCGGCACAAAGACTGTCGCTGGAACCCTAACTCAATTTTGGGGATGCACAAGCCAGGAAAACATCATAGCATCCCCATTTCCAGGGCCAGGATATTTAATTTTTTTTTTTTTTTTGGAGGGCCACCCTTTTTCTCACTGACAAGAGCTAGGGCTGACTTGCTTCTTGAATAGGCAAAGGGATCTTGTAGCCCCTTTGAGACTAACTTGGACATGAGTCTACGAAAGCTCATGCTCCCAGCTTCTTTCTCTCAGTTAGTCTCAAAGGATGTACAAGATCCCTTTGCCTATTCAAGATCCCTTTCCGTACTGATTTTCCAGACCAACACAACCATGTCTCTGAATTTTAACACTTCTTGAATGATATCTGAATCCTTTTATAGTCAAAACTGAACATTTATTTTTCATGACACCTGGAATAGGTGGGAGACTACAACTCCTGTTGACTCTTCTTCTTTGGGGTATGATGTGGGCTCTCTTAAGAGCTAGGGTGGCATAGTGGTTTGAGCATTGGAGTTCAGTTCTGGAGACCAGGGTTCGAATCCCCGCTCAGCCATGGAAACCCACTGGGTGACCTGGAGCAAGTCACACTCTTTCAACCTCAGAGAGTGGCAATGGCAAACCCGCTCTGAAGAAACTTGCTAAGAAAACCTCATGGGTCACCATTTGAATGTCTTGAGGACACACAACAACTCTCTTAGGAAGTACGTTTGTCTACTTATTTGTGCCAACTTCTTTTCCAGTCGAGGTTGGAAAATCTTTGCCTAAATCCTAAATCTTTGCCAAAGGTAAGCCGGGCATGGCTCTTCCGACATTGTTGGACTGTGCAAATCCCAATAGCCAATGGTGAAGAATGCTGGGCATTGCAATCCAAAAATGCCCAACATTTTGCCCACTTCTCGTAAAGGATTCTGTGAGTGAACTTACCTGGGTCAGTTCTCCGATGCATGCAGGGCAAATTATTTGCCACAGTGCAACGGACCTGTTCTGCTGACGGTGGCAGAGTTGGATTTGTAAGTACAGCAACATTTGCACATTGTGCATTTCACAAGGCCACCCAGTCACTGGCATGTGTTGTGCAATGCTGCTCTGCATGTGGGTCGCACATGGCTGGCATGGCACACCCCCATGCATGGATACTTGCACAACGCTGAGGGCACGTCACATTGCAGGCAAGATAGCATGATAAAATTAAAAATGTAGTGAGCGCAGCTTGTCACGTGGCTAAAAGTCCGAAGATCCAAAAGGTTTTTGGCTTGATTTAGGGCAGCTGTAGGAAACACAGAAGCCCCTCTCGGTAACAAAAGCTGGCGACAGTTTGCAGTTTCTCCATCACTTATGGGGACTGCATCTGCACTGCAGAAATAACGCAGTTTGACAACACTTTAACTGCTGTGGCTCAATGATAACCAAATCCTAGGATTTGCACTTTGTTGGGGCACCGGAGCTCACTGATGAGAGAAAGCTAAATATCTCACCAAATTACAAATTCCAGATTTCCATAGCATTGAGCCCTGGGAGTTAAAGCGGTGTCAAAATGCATTATTTCTATAGCACAGACGCAGAAGCCATGGTCATGAAAGCGAGGAGCTTTGGGCAAAACCAAGCAATAGGGCCCCTCTTACCTTCATAGACAAACCGAACATTTTCTTCGTGAGCCATGGTGTAGCTTTCTTCTGTATTTGACATGGGCTGGATGGTTAGCGGTGGTCTTTTGCCATTTATTCTGTTGAATACGAGCTTGGGAGCTGGGCTGCCAAGAAAGAAAGAAAGAAAGACAGAGGTGGAGGATCTTATTAATCAACCAAGATCAAATTCGTCATTATCATTATTTTCCGTACCTTTGAGTCAAAGCAGATCCTGCTGAGAAACAAAGGGCCTTTGCAGACTGCTAGAAATAGTGCAAATTGAGTCCACTTTCACTGCCCTGGCTCAGTGCTAGGGAATCATGGGAATTGTATTTTTTTCTGAGAAATTGAGCCTTCTCTGTCAGAGAGCTCTGCTGCCACAATCAACTACAGTTCCCATGAATATGCAAAACCGTGGACCTCAAGTCTGCGAAAATGGAGGGGTGACTGTATTATTATTATTATTATTATTATTATTATTATTATTATTATTATTATTATTATTATTATTATTATTATTATTACTATTACTATTACTATTACTATTATTATTATTTTTAATGCATTTTATTTATAACCTGCCTCGCCCTGCGGATCGAGGTGGGTTACAAGTAAGAATAACAATCAAATACAATATACAATTAAATTATTATTATTATTATTATTATTATTATTATTATTATTATTATTATTATTATCATTATCATTATTATCATTATTATTTATAGTTTATTTCTAAAGTGCTGTCAATGTACACAGCGCTGTACAAAGAGATAATCAAGCATAAAATAGAATAAAAACCTGCAACCACATTTCTAAATAATCCCCTACCCCAACCCCCCTCCCAATCATAAAAAGGAAGCAAACTGAAAACAATAACAATATAAAATGAATAGTAATATAAAATACTAACTAAAAGTGGAAGAAATAACAAATTAGCTAAAATTAGAAGTTATTATTACCATGATCATTATTATTATTAGAGGTTATTATTATTACTATTGGTTGTTGTTGTTGTTGTTGTTGCTATTATTATTATTATTATTATTATTATTATTATTATTATTATTATTATTACATCAGAGATGTCACGGAAGGCAAGGCTGGCCCAGACCCAACAGCATCCCATGCCAGGAGCGCACTCTGCCCCCTGCCCCCCAATGCCTTCAAATTTGGGGATATTGCATTTCTTTTTCAAGGCATCTGCAGACAAAACATTTGCCGGCTACTCCTTTGGAGGACTGTGTGCCTGGCTCCTTCATCCCCACCCACATTAATAATAATAATAATAATAATAATAATAATAATAATAATAATAATAATAAACATTGAAGGCGCTCTCTCTTCCCTGGAGCAGAAATGACGCTGCATGCTAAGAGAGAGTTCTTGGCTCCTGATAGAGAGCATCCTTGGATTGAGAAATCAAGGCATGTGACTGAGCCACCGAAGCGGAGTGTTATACAACCATTGCGCCGTGCCTTCTGACACACTTGGCAAAGCGCAGGGCGACTGTTCTCGCCGTTCTCCTGTGCATGGAGTAAGTAAGTAAGTGGCAAGGGAAGGAAACAAGTCATGGGAACTTTACTCCTTTGGACTGCAGCTCCCAGAATTCCCCAACAAGCACGGCTGCTGGTGGAAAGAAGAAAGAGAGAGAAGTGCCTTGCTTTGTGCAGTGAAGAGACAAATGCAGTTTGACACTGCTTTAACTGCCATGGCTCCACGATGTGGGATCTGCAGTTTTACGCCGCCCAGTATTTAGCCATTGTAGCACCTTGGAGACTAAGTGAAAGAAAGAAGTTGGCAGCATGAACTTTCATAGACTTCAGTCTACTTCCTCAGATGCATTTGGTGACGGAAGTCTACGAAGGCTCATGCTGCCAACTTCTTTATGCATGGAAAGAAAGAAGTTGGCAGCTTGAGCTTTCATAGACTTTGATCTACTTCCTCAGATGCATTTGGTGACCAAAGTTACAAAGGCTCATGCTGCCAACTTCTTTATGCATGTAGCATCTTTGAGACATTAAGTGAAAGGAAGAAGTTGGCAGCATGAGCTTTCATAGATTTCAGTCTACTTCCTCAGATGCATATATATGCTATATGAAAGAAAGACGTCGGCAGCATGTGCTTTCACAGACTTCAGCCTACTTCCCCAGTTGCATTTAAATCATTTAAATACATCTGAGGAACTAGAGTGAGGTCTACGAAAGCTCATGATGCCAACGTCTTTCTTTAGTCTCAAAGATGCTACAAGAGCTTTCTCCATACTGATTCTACAGACTAACATGGCTATATCTTTGCAAAAATATTCCATATGCTCTCCAAATGCATCTAAGGAAGTAGACTTTAGTCTAGGAAAGCTCATGCTGCCAACTTCTTTCTTTTACTTAGTCTCAAAGATGCTACAAGATCTCTCTCTGGACTGATCCTACAGACTAACACGGCTAGATCTTGAAGCATCCCTTTCCGTTACGGGGTTTCGGGAAGCTGTAGTCCAAAAATGGAAGCTTTCCAAGCCCTGGCCCTAAATGTCCTAAATCCTTGGGAGTTCGGGGAAGAAGTGAAGAGATACAATTAAATACAAGGAAATGTAATGATCTATTTATTAAAGATAAAAGCTGCCTTTGTGTTCAGGGAAGTCCCTGTTTGCTGGACCCGTGATGGAAAACTGGCCTGCCTCCTTATCGTGTTTTCTTTGGATTAGGAGTCCTCAATCTCAATCTGTTTCCACAAAATCCCAAGCAACTCCGGGGTCCCTTGCTCTTTTCCGGGTACCCTTCTCCTTCTCCTTCCATGCCTATTTGCCATGCATTTTAATGGCAAGGGCAAGCCCCGATTTAGACTCCTCCGTCTCCTCCAAGGTCAGTGGAGCAAATGTGTGTTTGTTAGGAAAGCTGCCAAGGCAGGAGTCAAAGTGCAAGGGCTGAACAGAGAGGCCAGTCGGAAGCAGACCCAGTTTCTCCAAGTTACATTCAAAGCCTGGACACATTACTCTTTCGAGATGCCAATTCCCAAAAAGCTGGGGACTGTTGTTCCAGAAGAGCTGTTCTTCCATACTTACACAGTATGGTCAGCCCTCCATATTCTCCAATTCAATCATCCACAGCAGGGGTAGGCAACCTAAGGCCCGGGGGCCGGATGCGGC